TAATAAATACCTGGACAAATCCAGGCTCTGTCCAAAAGGAATAAGGGGGCTGGCTTTCAGTAGGCAACAGACAATGGCTAGCACAGTGTCTACCATACAGGCCGATGACTCTAGGCAAGGTGCTTAGCATCTGTGAGCCTCAGCTTCCTCTTCTGTAAAAGGGGTAGAGCAAAGAACTATTGTTTCTGCCCTACCAGCATCCATTTCCTGATCTTCCCATGAAATACCTTGATTTCCCTTAGGGCAGTGGTCTCAGAACAGCAGCCTCAGCATCACCTGGGAACTTGTTAGAAATGAAAATTCTCAGCCCAGCCTGAGGCCTTTTGATTCAGATAGATTAGGGTTGGGGCCAGGCAATGTGCACCTGTGTATTCTTGGCTCATAAAGTGAAGCAAATGATGCTGTATTATAATTGCCTGTTTGTTGGTCTCTAAAAATAGTAGCAATATAAATTCTATAACAACAACAACAACAGCTAATTGTTACCATGTGCCAAGCACTGCAGTAGTGCTCTACGTACATTATTTCATTAATGCTTATGGGGGCGTTGATGTGAGACCCAGTTCCTCTATAAGGAAGGACCGATTGCCCCAGATGCAGATGTAGTCAGCAGGCAGCCTTCATCTGTCTCCCCTTCCGAAATCGAGTCACAGAGTGGCCTCATCCAAGCCCAAACCCTTCCAGGGGTGGCCCACTCATGTCTGGGTGATGTGAGATTATGAAGGCCTGGCCATCTCTGCCCAACTTGGGACATCTCTGCAGGGCCACTGTAGCTGCAGACACCCCCCTCCACCGGGCGGGGAAGCTGGCTGAGGCTGTTGTTGGGTCTGCCTCTCAGCCCCACTTCTGCCCCCGCTCTCCCTTGCTGCCTTCCCTCCCTTCCCTTCTCTGGAGGCTGACACCTTAATAAACATCCTACATGCTAAACTGCATCGCTGAGTGTGCTTCCTGGGAATTCCGACCCAGCAGAGTGCTCACAGCAGCTCCATGAGGTAGACACCACCGCTAGTCCATTTTACAGATGAGGACACTGTGGCTCAGAGGTACAGTGAGGGGGGTCCCAAGCCATGCAGCTGGTGAGCAAAGAGACATGGGATGGAAGCCATCACACTTCTGAAGAGGGAAGTGGCATCCTCTGGCTTTACAAGGGTGTCTCTGGCTGCTGAGGAAGAATGCAGGGGGGTCCAGGGCAGAAGTGGGGCGGGGGGGGACAGGGAGCAGTGGGGAAACCATTGATCGCAGCGGCACTGGGATAGTGGTGGGGGGACTTCCTCGTCCCTGTAGCTTCTTCAGGATCTGGCACTGAGCTGGACACAGCCAACATGCTTGCTAAATGCCTAGTGAGTGAGCGAGTGAGAGAACGGACGACAAAATCAAGGCGGGAGGGAACTAGACGTCCCCACGTCTGGTCTGTCTTGCTCACTAGGCTCTTGAGTGATAAGCATGGTGCCCACCACATCTGGACACTCAGCTAAGGTGTTGAGTGAATAAATGAACAAGTTCAAGGGAGGGAGGGAGGGAGGGAGGGAGGGAGAGGAAGGAGAACAAGGGAGGCGGAGGGGAGGGGGACAGAGGAGGAAGAGGAGGGGAGGAGAGAAGGAAGTGAGAGAGAGGATGGAAGGGGAGGGAAGTTTCTTTTTGACTTCTTTGCACAGAGAATGACGGTAACTTGCGACCTCTGGTGGCGAAGGAGAGCCACTGCACTGGGTTCAGGGAAAGGGGAATTCAGTCCTTTGGAGTTGCAGGGCCCATAATGCAAGACAAAACAGGAGATACCCAGTTCCAGAAAGAGGGTTGGGGCAGGCCCTTGTAAGGACGTGGGCACTCACTGTCAGGGGCTCTGTCAGTTGGTGACGGCAGGGTTAGGGCTCTGGCGGGGCAAGAGAAGCACCTGCCTAGGGCACAAACTTAAGGGGCCCCTAAAACTCAGTTAACTGAGACAAATATGTTAATGTAATATTTTAAAACATCAAAGTGTGGCCCACAAACCAGCTGCCCGTTTTTGTAAATAAAACTGTATTGGAACCAGGATCAGGATTCAGGCTAACGTCCTCAGTTATGGCAGAGATTACAGCCCACGTGCCTCATGAGTGCAGGTGGTCCCATCTCCTCTCGGCCAGCTCAGATCATTTAATAAGAGCACGCCTATACGGGGCACTTAGTAGGCAAGGCTTGGGTAACTCCATTCTCTGGCCGGCGGACTGGCCACAATTTCCCAGGAGATGTGGGCCTGTGTCCTTTTCAGTGTTGGACACATCTGTGCCACATCACATTTCCCTGGCTCTGCCATTCATTAGCAGTGTGACCTTGGGCAAGACTGAATTTCTCTGTGCCTCAGCTGTCTCCTCTGTAAGATGGGTTAATGCACACAAAGAACTTAGTGACTGCTCAATAAAGTTAACTGTTGTTAAAAATGTGGGCTTGAATCCCAGCTCTGTCACCTACTGTGACCCTAGGACGTCCTACTTCTCATTGCTAAGAGTGTTTCCTCATCTGTTATAACCCTTGTTATAACCGGTGGGAATTCACATGCTGCTGCTGGTGCCATTGGCTCATCGGTGCAAAGCACAGGCTGTCTGTCCCCTGTGGGCTTTGAGGGATCTGGGATCGCAGAGGGTTCCTTAGCCCCCTGTGAGACACTGAACTAGGGGAAGAATCCACTGCTCCCCTAGGAAGGCTTGTTAATCCTTATTTCCCTGCCCTGGCCATGGGCTGAGTATGAAGACAGGAAATACTCCTGCTGGGAACACGTGTGAAGTGTCTCCAGCCTCCGGTGTCTCCCTCTCCCTCTTAATGCCTGCAGAGGTCATTTTTGCTTCCCTGCTGCTGCTGCCGCCACTCCCACAGCCGCTGGCCACCGCGTCACATACCCCGGTGACTGCCGCACGGCTTGCGGCATGCTTGCCGACGCCTCCACCCTGGTCTACTGGCATCATGGGCGAACCTTCTCACTGTTTTCTTGCCTCCACTCTGGCCCCTTGCAGTTCTGTTTTTTCTACCAATGTCATCCTTTCACAACGTACATCAGATGTTCCTGGTTTAAAACCTCCTGAGCTGCATTAAGAATAAAAACCCAGCCTTGTTACTCGGCCCTGCGTGACCCAGCGCTTACCCACCTCTCCAATCTCACTTCCTGCTCCTCCTCCTTGCTCGGCGGCAAACCAGCCCCACCAGCCTTGCTGTCCCTCAGGGATGCTCCTCCTTCGCCAACTTGGTACCTGGCGTCCCACGCCCCATCTCCTGGTTCTCCGTCACGTCTTACTCCCAAGGTCACCTCATCGAGGCTTTCCCTGACCACTCCTCCCTCTCCCTCCACTCGAGGTCACTCAGAATCTCACCATACTTTACAGCAGGGGTCCCCAACCCCCGGGCCTCGGATCGGAACCAAGTACCGGTCCGTAGCCTGCTAGGAACCGGGCCGCACAGCAGGAGGTGAGCGGCAGGCAAGCGAGCAAAGCTTCATCTGCTGCCCCCCATTCCTCCCCATCGCTGGCATGACCACCTCAACCAGCGCCCCCAACCCCCGGGGAAAACTGTCTTCCACGAAACCGGTCTCTGGTGGCAAAAAGGTTGGGGACCACTGCTTTATAGCCCTCGTCACTGTCTGAAATTGTCTTAGGTACTCAGTTTGTTTCCAGAGAGATTCGTGTCCCCTCTGTATCTCCAGAGCCTGGCACACAGCGAGCGCTAGGTATCTGCTGACTTAGCAGCTGCACACGTGGCTCAACCACTCTCCCCACGAGGTAGAGATTAGCCATATTAGCTGTACAGTATATGAGGAAATTGGGGAATGAGCCCTCAGTCACGTTGAGAATATTCATTGAAAAAAATTATGGCCAGCTCCTGTGGCCTTGGAATTATTTGAAAATAGTGTAACATAATGCCAACACATATTATAATAATATGTGTCATATATTGAAATGCATCTCATTTCTTAAAGGATCAGTGGAGAGCATACGGGCTTTGGAGCCAGGGAAAAGTACCCCTTGCTACCTGTGACATCTTGGACAAGCTCCCCCCCTTCTGAGCCTGTTTCTCTATCGAATGGTGACAATACCTAATTTAGCATTGTTTTAGATTCAATGCCTGACGTGTAGTAACCAAACAATGATGTCAGTTCTCTCAACCAGTCACCACTACCCAGAAAGGGAAGTTTTCTTTCATTCCTGGGCATCTGCCGTGTGCAGAGTGATAACTGTGGTGAACAAAACTGACACAGTCCAAGTTGCTCCAGAATGTTCACTCCATGAACTCAATGCTTGTCCATCTTGCTCATCATTGCACCTGGTACCCAGTACAGTGCCCACACTCAAAATATTGACTTGCTAGTTAGAGCTTACAGGAGGAAAGTGTTTTATTATACCCACCTCCCTCCCAGCACACACACAAATTCTTTGGGGGAAGAAACTGGGCAAGGGTAAGTGAGCTAATTCGCGGTACTTTGCATCTTAATACAGTTTTCCTGCACCTTCTCTTAAACCAGGTTTTATCAAACTTCAGTCATTTCCAAGCTACTTCACTGTCTCTGCTCAATCTACTTACTGTCTTTGATATAAACCGGCTTTTTTACCTATAGAAATTAAAAGGAACTTTATACCAATCACTTATCTTAATTAGAAGATAGCCATAAAAACACAGAGCAACAAAAATAAAAAGTCTTGTACAGGGGCTTCCCTGGTGGCACAGTGGCTGAGAGTCCGCCTGCCGATGCAGGGGACGCGGGTTCAAGCCCGGTCCGGGAAGATCCCACATGCCACGGAGCGGCTAGGCCCGTGAGCCATGGCCACTGAGCCTGCACGTCCGGAGCCTGTGCTCCGCAACGGGAGAGGGCACAACAGTGAGAGGCCCGCGCACCTCCAAAAAAAAAAAAAAAAAAAAAAAAAAAAAAAAAAAAAAAAAAAAAAAAAAGTCTTGTACAGAATTACATAAATTTCAGTTGCCTGAAAGCTATGAGCCTGTTTTTAAAAGGAGAAATTGGAGTTAAGTGGCATTTTTCATCATTTTTTTTTACCATGACCCTCAAAAAGAACTGTATTTTACATCAAAACCTAGTACATACCATTGTCTATATACACATTTCAAACAAGTTTCATAAAACAATACTTACAATACTACATGTAATGTGCTCTGATATTTTCTAATCTCTGATTCCATTTCTTTCTTAAAATGCTGGTTGTAACCCATTGTACTGGTTTCAAAGAGGAGTCTGCCATGAACACAACAAGAAAGGCTGGGTTAGAGGGCTGATAAAGACATACTGTCACCAACTGAGACTCTGTCCTTGCCTCACCAGGACTGAAAACAGAATAAGGTTCTCAGTATGTGGTTCAATGTTTTGTAATGCCATGCCCTTGATCTGAGGTGTACACGGCACAATTGCAGAGAAAGCCTGAGGTTTATTCTGAATGCCCAGTTCTGCCAGACATGTCTTATGTACAGAGTAAGCGCTTGAGAACAGTCAACTGCAGATGATGATGCCTAAGAAGCACGATCACAGACGGCACCTAAAAATATCCCACCACCTTTATTTAGGTCGAATCTCATATTCATAGCATTCCTTCAAAGTTACTGTGAACAGCTTAACCGTCTGTGGTCGTCACAGAATTCTTCTACCCCACCATGGACCTCTTTCTCCCTCTCAGGCGCACCTCATCTAATTTTTTAAGCACTGGCCTGGCCTTTTTGGAGGCAGCGGAGTAGCTCTTCAGAAAGGCTTCAAACACAGTTTCGGTGTTGGGATGGGTACTAAGGAAGGCTTTCTCTAGCACGTACAGGTCAACTCCCTTATCTTCCGGAAGTGCTGAAATGAAACTCAGCCCAAAGTCTATGAGCACGATGTTCAGCTGTTCCAGGGGAGGTTTCAGGAGCATGTTGGACGTGGTGAGATCACCATGAATGAGGTCTTCATCGTGCATTCGAGCCAAAACCTGTCCGATTGCCTTGGCTAAGCCAAAGAGACTTTGGGGAGATTTTTCAATCTCCATAGTGGATTCGATATAATCTCGAACAGTCACTGAGCCTTCGATTTCTTCCATGAATAAGCAGTTGGAAGCATGGTCCACAAAAAAGACAACCGGGGCACATATTCCTGCAACCAAGACATAAGGGGTCATTGAATTAGATACTTTTTTTTTTTTTCTAACAGTAAGCTTAATTTTCAAAGACTGAGCCAGTTTTTTACAGTGTGTATCTGCGTATTTCGGGAAAAAGATTTAGGAATGCTGCAGAATGGTAGAGCTTAACTTCTCTGGAAGTTTCCCCTGCAGGACTGTGCTAAGACCACCCCATAGCTAAGGTGAGCAGAGCCAAAGCTCCCTCCTCCCTTCCACCCTTTATGATTGGACTTCATTTGTCATACTTATTCGCTAAAATACAAAACAAAACAAAGAGCCAGAAGGGTAAGCACAGCCCAGTCAGAGCCGTTTCTACCTGACAAGGACACCAGCAGGAGGCCAAGCCACGTGCCGGCTTAGAGATTCATCTTTATAGAGAGGAAGGACAAGTTTAAATCCCTGCTCCCTTCCTTATTAGCTGTATAACATTAAAGTCACGTTAATTTCTCTAAGCTGCCATTTCTGCTTCTATAACACAAGATCAATACTTCCAATAATTCAATGACTTCTCTGAATTTGAAGATTCAATGAATCTTCATTGAATGTCAATCACCCTCAAGACACTTCTAGATACTGGAGACAAATCTGTTGGGATACAGCAGAAAACAAAGCAGGCACGATCCCTGCTTAACAGAACTTAGATCTTGGAGAGGGTGAAAACAGAAAATATGAACACGTGAATAATGTCGTTAAATATGATCAAGGGCAGAGGTGCATCTGCTTGTCCGCTACTGAATTTCCTCCAGATCTCCCTGCACCTAACAGTGTCTTGGAGTACAGCAGACACCTAAAAAACACCAATGACAGAAACAAAGGTAGGAAGTGTAAAAGTGAAAAGCCAGTGATTCTGGGTCAGAGGGATACGGGCTGAGAGCCTGGCTGGGTCCCTTGGGCAAGTTACTTCTCTGAGCCTACGTTTCTCATCTGAGGACAAGGTTTACGGTCATGGTGCAATGATGTTTTAATGAAAAAATAAACAGTTGAATGAAATCTAATGTTTACTGAGCACCACAAGTCAGTCCTATGTTCAAACATAATACATGGCATACACATCTCGTCTAATGGTCACAACATCCCTATGAGATGGATATAGCTACAATGACTTCCCTTTACATGTGAGGAAACTGAGGCTGAGGTTATATAACTTTGCTGAAAGGCTGTATATGAAGCAGCGGAGTATTTGAACCCAGAGAGCCTGGCTCCTGGGCAAGTACCTGTAATTACGTCTGCTTCTTAAAAGGAAAAAAAGATAATGATCGAAAATTGAGACGGTACAAATGGGGAAACCGAGGTTCAGGGCAGTTAAATGACATGCGCAACGTTGAGCAAGAGTGGCAGAGCCAGAACTGAACCAGGCGCCAATGGCTCCGGGACAAATGCTAGTCGCTGCAAGGCCAAGCGGCTTCTGAAGAGTTAATGAACGAAAAGAAGAACGAAAGGATGACATTTCTTAACGGAAAGCCAGGCAGAAGGTACAAACAGGGAAACAGGCAAATCGCGGCCCGCAGCGCAGAGGAGCCCCTTACCCGCGTCCCCCACGCCCCCAAGCCGGGCCGCCACACCTGCGCGGCGACAGCGGAGCAGCGCCCGGGCCTCCTGCACCGTCCGTCGCCGGCCGAGCCGCGCCTCCAGCGCCGGGTGTCGGTAGCCCTTGGGGAAGCGGTACTTCACCACGGCCGCGCGGCCCTGGAAGCGGCCGCGGAACACGCGCGCCTCGGCGCCCTGCTTCACCAGCTCTAGGCCGCTTAAGAAGCGTCTGCTCCGCTCCCGGGCCGCTACCAGTGCTTCGGCCGCGGGCGCCAGCCCCTCGTTCAGCTCACTCGCAACAGGACCAGCCTCCGCCATGTTTGCGCCTCCGCATCCTCGGCCCTCTCCGGAAACTGTCGGAGCAGCTTCGGCTAGCTCCGGAAATCCTCGGAGCTCTTCGGCCACTCGAACGCCGACACTTCCGCCTTGCGGAAGTGGTTCCTCCTCCCAACCTTTCGGCTCTTTTCGAAGCCTAGGGGCCCCGCCTCCCTGCTCTTCGGCTATCTCCGTAAA